CAAGGAAAAAAAAAAAAAAAAAAGAGAAGAAGATAGGTGAAAATAAATGCTGACATACCAAATCTCTCAAATGCAAGTGTTTTGCAAGTGTGAAAGAGTGCAGAGTGAAAACTCCCCAATCCCCAAGGAGGCACGTCACTGCTGCCCCGTGCAAGTTCAGAAAGGCAATCTCCCATGCATGCGTGGAACTTCCACTCCACAGTGTCTATCAAACCACCTTCCAGACAGAATTTTTAGAGCGTGGAGGCCCTGACAGCCAAAAGTAGGAGGACTGCAATTTCCCCCAAGTCCTCTTTTAGGTATTGCAAGTAGAATCTGTTACTAACAGATCTTGAAAAGGAATGGCAAAAGGCCAGGCTAGCTAGAGATGTTTGGAAAAGGAACATCGCTATTGCATAATATTGTGAAAACTGAGATTGCTATTTACAGAGTGCTTACGCTGTAAGATCAGAAGCTGTTCCACATGAGACTGTGTTTCAGGACTCCCACATACACACTGGAGATTTTATCGGAACACAATTCTCCAAAGACGAAGAAAAAATCCAATACCAACTGGCCATACAGAAGCGGAAGCTCCCATAAGAAAGAGTAAGAACAGTTTCCCCTCCCCATCACAGCATAATCTCAAATCAGCAGAGTTACAGGAGCATCCAACTGCTGGTTTTCCTGTATATCTCGTGATCTGAATCAGTCATAACATCCTTTCTCATCTGCAGCACAACAGACCAGAGTAACAGCCATGAGAGCTCTTCAGGACACCTCTACAGATGAACAGCCACAAGGAACACCCAGGTGGGAAAACAGCCGGTATTGCCACAGCCACCCTTTGTGGCACAGGAAGAACAAGAACAACAACAAAAAAACCCAAAACAAAACAAAAAAAGAAACATCAAAGGCCTTATATTCACTCAAGGAACTGAGAATTTTGAAGTCCAAACTTAGCCCTGTAGCAGAGCCACCTTCCAACAACAAGTTTTAATATGAACATTTTTATATATCCCAGCTTTTTGTGGGAATGTTTGATCAGACAGAAAAGTAAAGGTTCCTCAAGTCCAGTGGGAAAGGTTGCACTCCAGAGTCATCAGCGGCCAGTTCCCAGGGGATCAGGTGAAGCTGACATCAAGTCCGTGTTCCCTACAATCCAGAGAAGGGAATTGATCATTGCTTCTCCCATGCATCCCTCACACATATCCAGGTTGCTCTCTCTGATTTCCTAGGGAAGCTCCTAATGTACAAATTGAATAAAAAAGTAAACAGTCTTAGCAAGGATTGCTACTGGAGACAAAAGTAGGACTGAAAGTAAATCTTTCTCATGGCTTTCCAACCTCTTTCCAGTAACTGTGATGAGGACAAGTCAATAATTAATACAAACATCTCTCAGACTTTACTGCAGCATACATGTGAGATAAAACATTATCCTCTGTAGAGAGATCAGAAACAGACTGAGATAGGTGAGGTACAGCCTCAACCAGATTTAGTCCATTTAGGGCGCTACAATAAAAGTGCAGAGAATCTGGAGAACAATTGGACTGATGAGGAGAGACTGCAAGAGTATTTAGACCAATCAAGAAAAAACAGTATGAGGTCTTGGGGGAGGTAATAGATTTCAAATATGTAAAAGGCTGCTGCAAAGTGAAAAAAAATATTCCAGCTTCCAGGTCCTCTGAAGGCAGGACAAATAGTAAGGATTTTTTTGTTTTGTTTTGAAACTTAGGTTAAATATTAGAAAAAAGTTTTAAAGGTAAGGTCAGTTCAGCAATACAACGGATTGCCTGGGGAGGCTGCAGGAGCCGCACTGCTGGGGACCTTTAAGAACAGGTCAGCATCCTAGAAGGGCATGGGCATGCACTAATGCAAACTGATGCTACCTTAAGGCAGAAGACTGACCTTTTGGCATGCTTTCCAGTTCAAGAATCAAAGACAAATTCAACCCCTGAGGGTAATCAGTAGGAAACTGAACCCAGATCTCTGGAGTCCCAGCCTGTCCTCACAATTATGGTACTACCCTACCAGCTAACAACCAACTGCATCTTCATCTGCCTCCGAAGCACAGAAATGGAACAGCTTTCCTACTACAGTAGCACAGCTGATAATACCAGAGCTGGCACAAAGCAGAATAAATATTTACATTCAGACTATCAGTTGTGACCGCCTTGCAGCACTCTGGGCTGACAGTAGCAATAGAACTCAATTCAGGTTAAGACGTAATGCCGAGGTATGTCGCCAATGCTCCAACAACAGCCTCCTTTACCGGATTTGCCTGGCTGTTACTGTACCGACAGCACTATGCAGGAGTCTTTGTAAAGAAAAAAAAAAAAGAGTAGGCTAGCTACTCAGTCTACTGTTGTTGTTCTGCCATCCTTCCAATTCTAGTGAACTTTATCTTTGAGGCAAAACTATCAAGTAGATCAAATACATAAGGAAAATAAAATATACCTGATTAAGGCTTATTTTTAAGGAAGGCTTAAGGACTCCAAATACTTGCACGCTTCACATTTTTGGGGACAATTTAAGATGCATATTACTTTCATATGTTTTACTTGGCTTTTACATTTTGATCAACTTCAATGAATTTCATTTTCCCTTTCTAGTTAGCTTGCCATGGGCTAGCACTGTGTTAGTAATGAGAATACTACAAGCAATGGTTAAGTAAAGAAGATTCTCCAACCAGATGCTTATCTCTTGTTCCATGTTTCTTAAAAGACTGAGGGCTTGAAATCCATCTTAATTAGAATTAAACAGTATCCCCCACATACAACTAGAGAAAAGGTCCCTAGAAATATTCTGATTAATATAAAGGTGAGTAACCCTTGTTCCCATGTGTTTTATAACAGTGAACATGCATGTAATTCTTTGCTGCAGTGAATGCAAACCTGCCAAGATCCTTCCTTTTCACATGCCTCTTTTTTGCCAGTAACCAGTTTATTTCATGCCCAGGGCCAGCACAATGCTAACTGTCATGTTTGCTTTAAAAATCGGAAATAATCAAGGATGAAAAAAATCTCTTTCTGTAAATAAATTTATCATAGATTCAAGCTGAACAGGATTATTGCGCTTAATGCACACACACAACTGAAACATGACAGCCCACAGACGTAGAGACTTCTACCAAGAAGCAATCTATTCCCTCCTCCTCTCCATCTCCATCCCTCCTTTGCAAACCCTGTCATTTCAGTATCCACAGGACAAAAAAACCAAAACAAAACAAAAAACCAGACCAAATGGCACTGCAGGATTTTTGTGGGAGTAATGTACAAGTCTCTTTTTTAGTCTGTAAGGTCTGGATTTGAATGCTCAAAAATACCTTGGAGAAGAGCATTCTGGAGCAGAGAGCTCCTGGACATCACCCTCAGCATTTCCCTAAAAGCCAGCAGAGACTGCAGCCTTAGCTGGGCTCACCAGGAAAATGGCCTGAAGCTCTGATTTTTGCCACAAGCATTAGAGCCTCCTGCCTATCCTGTCAGCCTGGAATGTTGCAGACTAAAAAACTGCCAGGATACAGTTCCTTCTGGTGAGGGGTTCTCCTTTTGCTCTATCTTTTCTAATCTCTGGACACACACATGAAGCATTCAGTCTCAAAGGCCACAGGTCTGTTATACAACCCAAGGCCCTCTATTCTTTGCTTCAGTAGCTTAGTAGGCTTTCCCACTACAATTTTCCTGAAGCAAGGGTGGATTAATGGAGGCTAGAGTTGCTTTCCTTTCTTATTGAAGATCTACACCCCCTCATTGCAATGGGGAGAAAGGAGGAGTGAGTTAGCACATCTGCCCTCCAGTGACCTCAAGTATCTTTGTGGTTGGGAAGCATCATAGAAGCGTGCAAGACACTGGGAGGGGTAGGGAGCATTAAGTGATACTGAGATGACAGATTAGCTCTAAGGACTGACAACTAACAAAGGCCTGGTTGCTGCAAGCACTTTCCATTGTCCACTATCGACCAAACGATCACTGCTGTAGCACAGCACAGATAATCAGTGCGTCACTCCCATAAATAGAAGCGCATCCTGTACTGAAACACTGATCTAATACTTTTCCAATAGTTACAAGACCAGACTGTGTTCTTTAGGCAAAGGTCAGTTGCTCCCCAAGGTGTATTATTTAAAAGGAAATCAATTATGTTTAAGTTTCTAGGCAAATGGAAGGGTTCTGTGTTTGCCTGGCAGTGGCAGAAGGAGCATGGTGGCACTGCAGAAGAAGGGCTGGAAGAGAGAAGAAACATTAATATTTACTCGGTCACAGAAACAGCCATTCAGGTGTACTGTATTCAGTATAAGAGCACATGAAATGGATGCTAGAACTTACATTCTACACTGCTTTGTCCAACAAAGCCAACAGAAATTTAGTTTTTCTATCTATTTCACAGAGATTGCAGGCTTAATATACACATACGCATGTTAAATTACAAGCTGGGGCCAAGCACGAACTTGTCGTTAGGCACTTAGGAGAAAGGAGCCTGATGCTGTGTGGTAGGTTTTTATTTCACACTAGAGCTAACTACAGGCAGAATCACACATCCACAGTGAGGGCCACCTCTTCATGTCAGTCACACAATACCTCTCCACAAGGGAAGACAGGCAGGGTAATGCTACATAGCACAAAGACAAAAAAGGCTAATTTTGATGGATGGTTGTTTCATCTCTGCACCACGTAGCATCAGAAAGTAGCTCTGTAAGAGCAGAGTTCCAAGTGCTGAAGAGCTTTGTTTCAGTTAGCATGTTCACAGTGCAAATTATTAACTAAGTTAGTTCTTGTTGGCAGAACAAAAAAAAATCCCCCAAACAAAAACCAAAACAAGAATAAAACCACAGCACCTCTGTGGGCTGCTTCTGCACTACAACTGCATCATTATTAAGATGCAGAACATCATATTCTTCAAGTTTTGAAAGATTCAGCACCACCAGACAAAACCCAGCAATTTTCACACTGGAATATTCTCCACCATCATAAAGTGAACACCTACCAAACCAAACCAAGAAAATATTAAAAAAAAACCCCACTTACCAAATACAAGCAGCCTGGAGTTTTGCTGCAAGCAACAGGTCAGTTGTCGACTAAGCAACATTGATGCCATTTTATCTTTTCTTTACTCAGAAACACTTGATTTTGAGAGATTTCTTTCTGGCTGACGTTCTGAAAAAAAAAAAAAAAAAGAAAAGCAAACACTTATTCATGTCCCAATGGATGCAGCCACTATAATGTGCCATTCATTTCAATTTCCTCTTTCACAAGTTTCAATCCAAAGAAACTGAAAGCATGCTTTGACGGATTACTGCTGATGTTCAGAGCAGTCTCAGGATTGAGACGCAAGTCTGATACTAGGTCTCGTTAAGGCAAATGACTTCTAGGCTAAATCTGTATCTCCCAGCTTAATGAGGCCAGGGAGTAAAGATCATTATCTACTTTCCCTTGCTCTTCTTCTCTACTTTCTCTATGTACATGGACTACACTGAACTTTTAACAAATTGTTTCCAGTGAGTCTCTCAAGCCAATCTGTTATTTTGATTTGACCTGAGGTTATGAGAAAAATCTCATCTAATATAAAGAGACAGCAGGACAAGCATTAGGAAATAAAAGAAAATCAATCCCCTGAAAAAAACAGTTTCTACCAATTAATCACATCTCTATGTAGAGAGACTGTGAGAGCTGGATTGTTCAGCCTGAAGAAAGCTCAGGTTGCATGCCATCAATTAGTAAAAAAACCTGACAGGAAGAAGTAAAGAAGGAGCCAGGGTCTTCTCAGTGCTGTCCAGTGACTGGGTAAGAGGCAATGGGCACAAACCGAAATACAGTAAGCTGCATCTAAACATAGAAAAACCCTGGACAGGTCACCAAGAGGGGGTGTGGAGTCACCATGCTTGGAGATAATCAAAGTCCAACTGGACATAGCTGTGAGCAGCCTGCTCTAGGTGACCCTGCTTGAGCAGAGGGTTGAACCAGATGACCTCCAAAAGTCCCTTTCAACTTCAACCATTCTGTGATTCTACCTCGGCTAGTTAAGTATAAATGACCTTGTAAAGTCAAGCAGCATGAACGATAACATGACTCCTTTTTCACTCTGGATCACCTTGTGCAGAAAGCCTGGCTGGAAGTCATAACTAGATAAAACAGGTCATTGAATTATTATCCAGGATACAGGTTAAATTCAAACTTTACACTTAGAAGTATGGTACCCTGTGTTCTATGTAGGACACTAGAGGCCCTTCTTACCCCACTGGATTTCCCTCCACCCCAGTGGGTGTAGACCATCTAGTAGCAATGGACTGAGGCTTGCAGTCCAAATGAAATGTCACTATTACCTGTAAACCTCCTGGGAAGGACTCTATTTAACAAATACACTCTGAGAATGGAGCTGATCTTCCAGCAGAAAGAGATCACACTTATTGCTTACATCATTTCTATGCCATCAATAAAATATGCAAACAGATGTTGATGACTAGATGCAGGGAAGCAGTTGATCCATTGCTACTATGATAGGAAGTATCTCTTAACCAACACTAATATATCAGAAATTTAATTTCTGTTTTGTCTTTAGCCAAGATACTATTTGCTTTCCTTCATGCTTCAGCTTTTTCAAAATCAGCAAAAGAAAACCAAAAACTCCTTGCCTATGAAGGTCTGTCAACCTATTAATACTCAGGTACAAAGGAAATTCCCGGTGCCTTCCCAGACAATCGACATAGCATTTGGTTTCACTTAGTTTGCTCTGAGTTCAATTTAAAATTCAAGGTATTTCAAAATCTGCCAAGGTGAGCAAACACTTGCACAACATTTGTGCACATGCTGGAAAAAACTAGATTAGCTTCATAAGGTTTTAGGTCAGAAGTGTAGAGGAAATTAGTTAATTTTTTTCAGAAAAGAGTAACCTCACTTATAAGACAAGATTAATTTCATTCATTAATTTTTGACTCTCAGCTTCTTTCTTTAGTTGTGCAAACTTTTGCATAATCAATGCCTAAAGAAATATCCCAAACCCATAAATTTCTTATCTTAATACCATCATCTAGCAAAAAACAAATGCGAGTAAGTCAGACTACCACTGTGGAAAAAAACTGTTAAAGGGTGAATCAGCCCAGCACCTCTCACAATGATTAACTGCCTTGATTGATGTCCTCTGCTCAGAGCTATTTATCTGGTCTGTACTTCTGCAATCTACAATTCCCTTCTTAAGTTTGATCTGCAAAGAGCTACTTTTAAAAAATCTCTAGGAGCCTGTTAAAAGCTAACATGAACATAGCTTTGAAGGAACTGACAAAAGGAACGCTGCAAACGTACCTATGTCAGAAGGCTAAAACAACCCACCAAGGTTCACTTCGTCATTCTAGTCCCCTTCAGTCATTTCCCCTGCATGTTCTGCTACAAATTGCCAAATCTCCCTTCCCCACAATGACAAGATGTCTCTTCACATAAAAATCAAACATACTTTCCAGTCACGCTACATGGCCGTACCCACCAGTGTCCAGGTTTCCCTGCAGTGGTACCTGCTCTGCCTTCCCTCGGTGAACCACTCCTAAGTCTTTGCTCCCAGAATGTTATTTCATCTTTTCCTTATATTTACTGTTTATCTTAAGCCCTTTAATGGTTAAAATACAATATTCATAAAAAGCTCAAAAATACATCTGGAAATGGTATTGGCTTTCTGAAATACTCATAGAAAAAAATTATTGTAAAAGGTTTAAAGATAAAGTAGCTTAGCCCTAATTTTCCTTGACAGTTGTTACATAAAAAGTTTTACCATTTTCTAGTCCAGAGTCAGAATAAATCATGTAATATCACATTTGAGTATAACTACAATCAACTTCTTTTCTGTCTCCATTACACACACAAATTCTCACAGGAGATCAGCTGATGTGATTGGTATATTTGTCTAGGCACATGTTATTTGGTTATCATAATAACCAATTGAATTTTGCCTCCATAATCCATCTCTTGATCAATTCCCACTGGGCTAGCTTGGTCTAGCATGGCAAGCAGCAGCAGCACAGCTTGCAAGCCAGCAGAAATCAGCTCTCATGCACACGTCAAAACTGCAGCAAAGCCATGCTCCATCACCATTGCTGCTTTGGAGCATCTGCATAGTTTCAGATTCTTTAAAATCTAGACAAAAAACACCCACCAATTTCAGATATCAGACTGTAAAGGGGATGTGAAGGACAATGGCTGGATTAGATTTGTGATTAAATGCTAGCTACCTTAAACCTCAAAGAAGTAAGACCCTTTCAGAAAAAGAGATTCATGAAAGTCTTCTCTAAATATTTTTCCTCTAATGGCAACTGTCTGAGCCAGAGAAGGCCATTGTTACAGATGACTCTACAAAATCGCTATTCCGAATTGAATGTTCAATACATTAATATTGCAGGTATTTTTGCAAATACATTTCCACGTATTTTTGTATGTAAGTTTGCATTACGTAAATACATGCATTAGCACATACAGTTTAAGTCACAGTCGCGTTCTTTTAGTAAGAAAAATTATTTTCAGAGAGGAAGCTCAGTACAGTTTATTGAGCATATGACACATAAGCATATGTGGATTTTTTTAAATGCACACAATGTGAAATTGGATGTATTTTTTTAAACAGCAGCTCTTAAAATTCTGTACTGAGTGATTATTTCTGACAGGCAAAATGAGTTTCTAGAACGACAACAGTCATTCAGCAGTGGGAGCCTACTGTGAACATATAAAGATGCATTGTTTCTGTGAGGTAACAAGATTATGTTTCTTAGGGGCAACCCCTGGGGAAAAAAAAGTTAGAGGGACCCCAACGGTCAGGGGGGCTTGATCCAGATACAAGAGCAAAAATCTACAAACTAGGAGCTCAAATAACATTCTCACTTGCTAGCAGCGAAGCTAATGCAGCATGACATCCGTGTTTCAGACTGCAGCTTGCAAAAACCTGCCTCTGAAAGCATCCTCGGGACAGATGCAAGGGTAAGAGGTGAAACAGAGACACTGCAAGATAGGGATGAGAAGTCAGCACTGCAGATTTGCATCTCACTCTTGCAACTCATGCCAAAGACATAGAAGCCTATTTTAAATTCATGGGGGCACATTCATCTGTCCCTCAGCTACTCCAAACCCATTTATCCAGGAACAATTAAGTGGTTTAGAAACAGCAGCACAAGCTGCACACTGCAATTACTCCACAAGCCTTCATAATACGTATTTGGGGAGCAGGGAGATGAAGGCAAATTAATTCCTTTTTTGCTGTTTTCCTTCGCTTGACTTTTCTATGATGCACAGCAGCGAGCGTATCATTGTGCTACGTGTTAATTGTTGTGAAATTTAAAACATCTCAAACTATCTTTTAGTCCCGTTTGCTTGGGTCCATCTTGATGTGAAAACAGCGCAAGGCTTACTCGCTCTGTGAGCTGCGCAGGGTCTGCTGGTGGGCGCATGAGCAGCAGCCCAAGGTCCTGAAGCTCTGCCAGCTCACACACAGCAGGCGGAAGCTTCCCCTCTCTGTCGGGAGTCCACAGGTAGCACCAGCATTACACATGAAAGCAAAACCACCTTTTCCACGCCCCAGCCTGCTCTGCTATCCTGGAGGTGAGCTGGTGTAGACAGTTTGCAAAGAGGGTGTGTGGTGGGTTGACCCTGGCTGGAGGCCAGGTGCCCACCAGAGCCACTCTATCACTGCCCTTCCTTCACTGGACAGGGGAGAAAAGGTATAACGAAAGGCTTGCGGGTTGAGATAAGAACAGGGAGAGATCACTCACCATCTATCATCACGGGCAAAACAGACTGAACTTAGAGAGAAATTCATCTAATTTATTACCAAGCAAAACAGAGTAGAGGAATGAGAAATAAAATCAAATCTCAAAACACCTCCCTCCACCCCTCCCATCTTCCCGGGCTCAACTTCACTCCTGGCTTCAAACCTCCTTCCCCCTCAGCGGCACAGGGGGACATGGAATGGGGGTTGTGGTCAGATGATCACATATTGTTTCTGCCGCTTCTCCCCCTCCTCAGGGGGAGGACTCCTCTCATCGT